CCTCTGGGACCCAGCCACATGTTTTCCTTTGCAGATGTTCTGCAGCTCCAATTCCCTTTGCAGAAATGGTCCCGCCACAAGAGCGCCGTTGGGAGCCGGCTGCCAGCAGCGTCCGATGCCCACCCCGACCCACAGACTAAAGCCAGAACCCCAACTGATGTGGGAAAGAAAAGGGTTAACTCAAAGTCTGTGTTTTTAGGGGCATCCTTTTACACTGTCCCTCGCAATGTTCTCTTCTGCATGTATTTGCTTCGTTCACTTTAAAGATTTCTAGTAGTTCCTGCAAAGGACTATGCAACCCAGCGTAGATCCCTTCATCCATCACAGATATTCAACTACATCTGGGTGACCCGTCACAGAAAATTACATAGCAGGTCAGGGCAATTCGAGACCATTCCTGACAGCTGAGTCTAGGTAGGGAATTTAACTTGTCAGAAGAGACCTCTCCAAGTGGAAATCTGACCCAGACAGTAAGTGAACCTTCTTATTCTTGCAGAAGCTAATTTTTCACTGCCCCTTACGATCTAAGATTTGGGTTTATGCTTCACCAGGGGGAAGCCATCGCTTTCTGCTAGTCAGTAGCCCTGATACCCTGCTGGAGCTTCTCTTACCAAGTGACTGAGTGAAGAGTTAAAATTGCAGAGCCAGTTTTCTGCAGCACCCTGCTGCTTCCTTGATGTCTCAGACCGAAGCATTGATCTGAACTAACCAGTTTAGTATGGGCGGAGGATCTGGCTCAGAGCACATGGGGCTATAGATAGCTGCTCAGTTTCTGCAGCACTGACAGTGATAAACGGTCCCTGGGAGAGGAGGGTGTTTAGTCATCTCCTGAAGATGATTTGATGGACGTGAGTAACTACCGAGCCTCAAGACCTCTGTCCATGTTGCATCATGCTAAAGATACTTCATATCTTTAATGTGTTGTAATGTACAGATCATTTTGGATGTTTTCTTTTGAAGAACATACTCTCCTAACATCGCCCTGTGCACAGAGGGGCAGGCACAGATCACAACGCAGTAGGGACCAAAAGGACCACCCCAGATTTCAGAGAGTCCCTGTCCTAAGCCACTTCTTTCCCTGACCGCTTCATATACCAGCAAGGTGGCCACGAAGAGACGATGTAGAAATGAAGTGCCACATTTCTCAGCTGTCATGGCCAACTTGGGATGGAAAGCGTTACTTGAGTACGCACCCAGGCTGTGATGCTCAACCGCTCCAAGGAGTCCTGTTTTACTGAAGAGAGCGTTTCCCAAGGCTGTAGCTGATTTTTCACAAGCAAGTTTGTGCACTGGCCAAGACTGCTGACAGCTCGATATTCAGCTACAGAATATAATTTTCTGTCATTTTGATTTATGTTCTTCTGTGCAACCAGAGTCCCGCGTAAAAAAAAAAAAAATCGGAAGTTTATCTTAAAGTTACCTCAGTACAAGTTTATCCTTCAACTGACCTAGCAAATTAAAGATATTTTTAGATTTTTTTTATTTATTTCTGGAATATGAAAGAGAAAAGTACTAAAAGGTAACCTCCGCTGTCAGTTTTGTGACCCACTGTTGGGATGTCTGCCATCGTGCAATGCAAAAAGAGTCATTGTCATCAAAAGAGAAATGAAGCTGAAACCGTGAGAGCAAGATCTGCTCTTGGCTGAAGTTTCCACCTGCACCCGGTGGCCCTGTCCAAGGGGGCTTTGACGCACCGAAGCAACACCCAGGACATCAGGGCCAAGCTCCAGAGCACTGAAGGGTATCTTAAAACTCTCAGTCACTGAGGGTTTCTCCTGGGAAAAAGCCTGAATCCCCCGGGAGAGGGGCTGGCATAGAGCCACGGTCTCCGCTCCCTTCGGACGGCAGAAGACGGGCTCATCCTCCAGCCTCTTGGGTTTGCCCGGAGGTTTTATGGCAGAGCTCTCTCTTCTGCCTCGCTTCTGGCACCCAGACTTGGGCTCCTGAATTTTTTCGCTGCATTTGGAGCCTTGCTTGTTGGCATTAGTGTTGGGGGGATTATTGCTTGCAGTTTCCTTCTGACAGATGCTTAAAAGAGCAATACTGAGCTGGGGGGGGGTGGGAAAAAGCGTCGCTTGGCTATTTGTCTGCAGTTGTGTGAGTTACAAAGTGTTCTGCGAGACAAAGGAAGAGGCCGCATGAAACAGCTCTTGGGGTGGCACAGACAGGAATAAAAGCTGCTAGCACAGCCCTAGGAAAAGGCAAGAGAGCAGGGAAGTGTGTTTTATTCCAGTTCTCTGCTTTCCTACAGAGTTCAGACAATTTTATTTATTGCATTTCCCCCCACTTAGCATCAATGAGCCTATAGGTAACCTAAGACATATGACATGTCTCAAAATTATAACTCCAAAATGTGCCATGGGCTGAAACGAAATACACTTTCCAGCCCAGGGGTAGGGATGGCTGGTGTGGGGACAGCGCGGTGTCACGGGGCTGGTCCCCTCTGCCGGAGGGGCACCGGGGCTTGGGCG